CTTTCTCCAGAAGCTCAGCGAAGTACGTACTGTGGAGTGATCATGGACTTTAGATCTTGTGGGGTGGCCAACAGGAAGCAGACCTGGTTCAGAAACCTAATGGACACTGTGTGACATAAGGATGAAAAGAGGAAAATGGTGAGTATTGTCACGTACTTTAGCAACACCTTGAACACTACACGCAAACCAATCTGCAAATTGAAACAGCAATCTGGAAGCAAGCTAGTAGGCACAATAAATCTTATTGTTTTTGTTATTTCATCAGACAGGGTTCAGATTCACATAAAATTACGCGCCATGGATCGTCGGGGCTTCATTTGACAGAGCAGGGGATGGATCTCTCTACGAGCAAGGGGGATAGCAGAAATTGGTAGTATCAAGGCAGTGACACTTAGGAGGAATAGAGCGAGTGCAGGGGCAGAGGTTACAGGCAGAGTGGCAAGATTGTCCGACGTCTCTGCAATGGCATTGAGGTGGGATTGACTTTGTACAGGGACAACTGTTGCAGCAAGCAGTGGCGGCGGTCGACTTGATGTAGTAGTTGGCTCCGCCATTATCGTCCGCCGCCTGGGGCAGCAACGCCTTTGGACTGAACTCACGGCGAGCTTCCACGGTCTCAATGATGACGGCCATCAGGGACAGAACCACACCTACCTTTACCATCATCGCTTTCTTGTTCAAACCCATCTTCTCTCTCCGTGTGTTTGAGTTTTGCAATTGTGAGGTGGTGAGGAGGTAATGGGGGCTATTTATAAGCCCCATCGAGGAATATTATAGTGGTATTAAAATTCAATCTCATTGTGCCGGTTTGTCAACTGATCACCAGTTTTCTGATTAATTTAATACTACTAAGAGTCTTAGGTTAATGGGGTTGGATCTCACACACACACACACATATCTTGTCTTCACTCATAAATTTAAGATGACATTTTTTTGAGTTAAAAAAATAACAATCCATTATTTTTATAATCCAGTAAATATATTTTGTTGGATCATGTAGAGAGTTATTTATAAATATTTTATTTACTTGTGAATTAATTAATTAAGATTTAACTATTATTTTTAAATTACATAAATATTTTTATATATTTTAATTATATTATATTATCTTAATTATGATTTACCCCATATATATATATTGCAGTTCGAGTAGGAGTTAAGAAAATCTTCAATGATAATGCTCAAATACTCATTATATGTAATGAGTAGATTTAATTTTAGTGGGGATACGGCTCTTTGTATACTTGTTGGCCCTTATCCGGATTAAACCACTCTCTCAAATCTCAATCTAAATTCATACAATAAACCCACCCCATTATCAGTATCTCACTTTATTATATTTGCGCATGGGTTACTGGGAGACGCACGCATTTATTCCACCACTATTATTATCTGTATCTCACTTTACATATTTGCGCGTTTTAAGTAACCATATGGGTGGACAATATATTTTACTCTTAATCATAAAACATACTACTTCATACATTAAGGGGGTGTTTGGATGGAAACCAAACTATGGTTTTAAAAGTGCTTTTACGGTATACAAGGTAAATATATAGAGGAGTTTACCTTGTCTTGTAGAAAAATATTTCTGAGAAGTACTTTTGAGTGCTTCCCAATACCCCCTAATATTGATTCGGTCAATGAGAACTGAACTCACCTTATAAAATTACGAGTTCAAAACTGCCAATGGGAGTATTGTCTTGGTGAACCATTTGTAAGTATCTTTTCTAAGCATTATTTTTTAATCTTAAGATATATTCTAACCCTTATAAGCTCCCAAAATGCAACTTACTTAAACTTATCTCATGTATTATTCTCCACTCTTGCCTCATCTCACGTGCATATGTTCTATTTATACTGTTTAATAAATACTTCATCCCGTCATATTTATAAATTTTTTAATTTAGGAAGCGTATATAGTCTATTTCATAAGTCTCAATAAGGGTTTCTTTTGACATTTAATACGGGTTTTTTAAACATTTAATACTTTTTTTAACTACATTTTTATTTACTCTCTCATTTGCCATACTCTTTCTAATCATATTTTTCCGTACACTTTCTTTCGTCATTTTTTATTTATTACAAAAAACATATTTTAAAATAAAAATATATATTTCTAATCTATTTATTACTTTTAACTAATTTTAACTGAGTTTTCATTGTGTATAAATTATTTATTTGAAACTTATAATAAAGACCAGAGGAAGTATGATTTAGAGAGTCTAAAAATTATTATTTTATTTTGATAAATTTTTTATACATTAAAAGATTTTGAATTCTTCATATCAATCTCACCCATGTGAACTATTTTTTTTTTTAATGGCAGTTATTCTTATATTTTCACGTTAGACTGTATTATGTATTTTATAAGATGATAGTTATGCATACGGTTCTTCATCATAAGTGATAAATTGTATAAATAGGGTAAATGTATATTCAACACCTTGATTTTATTAATTTATAACGCATCTAGCAAGGGGTATAGCAGAATCCGGTAGTATCAAGGCAACGACAGCGTGGAGGAATGGAGGCAGTGCAGGCACAGTTCTTACAAACAGAGTGGCAAGTTTCTGCGGAGTCTCTGCAATGGCATCGAGGTGGGATCGACCTCCAGCAGGCACAGTGGTTGCAGCAAGCAGTGGTGTTGAACTTTATGTGGTTGTTGGGTCCGCCATTAACGGTCACCGTCTCAGCCGGCAAAGTGTCTGGATCCACCCGGCGAGCCCCCAGTACGGTTGCAGACAAGGCCGCCATCAGGAACAGAACCAGACTTACCTTTACCGTCGCCTTCTTCTTCAAACCCATCTTCTCTCTAGGTAGACTATCTTCGCGTGTTTGAAGTTTTGAGATCGCCGGAGGTCCAGGGGTATTATATATATAGTTGCGCATAGTTTATGACGAAGGAACAAAGTTCAAACAGGTGGCGTCACACATTATATTTATATTCTGTACTCCCCGTGTGCTTATTACAAATTACTATTCAAATAACTAATAATTTACGAATAATAAACTATTAGTTAAAATTAATTAAAAATAATAAGTAGGTCAGAAATATACTCTTATTTTTAAATATGGTTTTGTAATAAATGAAAAAAAATGAAAGAAAATGTGTTGGGAATAAGAGAGAATAAATTATTAAGAGCAAAATAAAAAAATGTGTTAAATATTAGAACAAATTAAAATCAAATTGAAGCTTATAAAATGAACCACACTCCTTCCTAAATTTGAAGAGGTATGCACTAAAATATAATTATGAAAAGGTTTCCAAAAAAATGTAATTATAAAAAGCTAGTCTTATTTAAGCTAGCGTAGCGCTTATTTTTATAATTTAATTTGATTCTTCTACATTTAATTAAAATAATTTATATTATTTGTTTTTTTAAAAATATATATAGATAGTTTTGGATTTATTATTTATTATTCTGGCTTCTGTTAAATAAAAAAATTATACCCAATAAAATAAGAAATATTAATAATAAATTTCCAATAAAATATAAATGGCGTTAGATTAAAGTTGTACAATTTATCAGAAAACTACCCATGCATACAGTGGACATCTTTAAAAAGTCTTTTGGATCTATTATTTAGCTAGCTATCTGGTTATCGTTGATTGTTATTTATTCAAAAATTAGTTTCTTGTTTTAATATTTTATCAGAGAATATTCAGACATAATTATCAGTGAATTTAAACGGACCCGACGGGCCATCAAACTAACACTTCCAACCAACGGTTGGACCTGGGTTTGGATTAGTGTGACCCATGGCGAATCGAAACAGCCGCCGGTACCAAATTAATAATTATCAATCTATCGCAATATTTAATACGCAATACTAGCATTGTTTAATGACACTATTATGGGTTTTATTTATAAAGATGGGGGCAACCGTCACGTACTTCAGCCACACCATTAACTCGCCGTGGGCTCCGTAAACGGCGTCGTTGAGAGGCTTCTTCATGATTCCAACTAAAATTTAATTTCTAACATTCACTCAAAAAAAAAAATTCTCACAGTTTATAAAAAGCTGGCCCTCACAGGGTCCTCAGTCTCCTCACTACTACAAAAAAGAGTATTCACGACGCTAATTTACGGCAGTTATTAGCAAAAACGTTGTAAAAAATATGACGGTGGCATTTCTGTAATTATAGGCGGACTTTTAACGGCGGTTTTTTAAAAACCGCTATAAAAAAATACTTTTAACGGCGGTTTTTTAAATAACCGCCGTAAAAAGTCTATCAGAATTTTAAAATCCATTGTGCGATAGTTTTCATTTTTCAGAGTCAAAGCTCATAGTCCCCCATACCACATCCTCACTCGATTTTCTCCCTCCTCCTATATTTGTCGGCGTTTATCCATTGCTTCTATCATTTCCGCCATGTTCTTCCATCACTGTCGCTGTTGCTGTTGCCGTCACCATCGCCTCATCCTCTTCATTCTTATTTGTGAGTTTTTCACCTCCATTCTTTCTGTGGATTTTGCAGTTTTTGTGCTTTGATATGATTATTTTCTTTAGTTAAAAAATAAGATGCTTAATCTGAGTTTAAAGAGATCTGATTTTTAGCAGATCTGAGTTTTTTATTTTATCAGATATGAGTCTTTGATTTTACTTTTATTAAATCTTAGTTGCTTCGATCTGGTGGCAGAAGGTGAAGCTAAGTGACGCTATGAAGGCAGGAAAGAATCTATATTTACTCCATCAGAATGCTTTTAACTGGCGATAGATTTCCTTTGAGGCTTTGTTCTCCCGTTCCCTCCTGATCAGTAGGATGAAATGTAGCTTAAAGGAATAAAAATTTTTCACGGCGGTTATTTATATAACCGCCGTGAAAAGTCACATATCACGGCGGTTCTTAAACCACCGTGAAATCCTCTAGCATAGACGTCGGTCTCAAAACCACCGTAAAAAGCTTATTTTAACTGCCGTTAAATGTATTTTTTGTAGTAGTGCCTCACCGCTCGAACACAGAAAAACAGAGAGAGAGAGAGTAGAAGACAACAATGGTAAAAGCCGTAGGAGTGGTGATTCTGTTCCTGATGGTGGCGGCCTTCACTGTAGTTGTGGAGGCTCAAATGGTGAAGCAGAACTACTCAATCAACTCCCCCGCCACCGCCTGCTGCAACGACTGCACCTGCACTAAGTCCGACCCACCTCAATGTGAGTGCAATGACTGGGGAGAAGCTTGTCACTCTGCTTGTGAGCGTTGCATCTGCCGTCTTATATATCCTCCCCGCTGTCGTTGCTATGATACCACCCCCTTTTGCTTTCACAAATGTTCCTCTTCTTCTGTTAAACCTTCCGGCCAGAATCCTTAATAATACTGTTCCGATCTTTAATATAGGACTCAATTTTTGAATTGGTTTTGGTCTTAAATATAAGACCCATTTCTTATATTTATCAATTTTTTCTAAATTATCCTTATAGATACTCCGTCAACCATAATCAAGTAGAAGAGGGAGAGGAAGCATTAAGAAATATGATTATAGTATTTTAGGAAAAATGTATCACTTTTCTTATAACTAACTTACTTAACTTCCTTAATCTAATCAAATTAATTAAATGGGTTTTATATTAAGGACAGGAGGAGTATTATATCTATCACTTATCAATATATATGTGTGTGTATTCACTTCCTACCGAACAAATGATCACCATTTTCTAAATAAAGTAATTTAGCCAACTATTATTAAATTTATGTATTTATGTCCCTTGTTACATAAATTTTATATTTTATGTATTGATGTTTATACGTTGGTAATTAATACTTGGCATGCACGCACCGTGTGAATGACGTGAACAATGATAATTAATAACGATGTTATTTATCCTGGTAAAAAAAAAATAATGCTGTTATTTATAATTTATGCTGTGGTCAATCCGAGCACCATGATGGCGGTGGCGTTGATGAATGGCAGCGAGCAGAACTTGATCACCAAGTCGACCACCGCCGACACGGGCAGTTCCTTTCTCAGTAGTGTGCGTATCTCGCCGATTAGCTCTCTCATCAATGGCCTTGATTTCTTTGAGGTAAATGGTTTCGATAGCATTATTAATAAATAAGCTTCTTTTTTTTTGAGCTGATAATAATAAGCTAATTAAAAAACATGTCTTCCAATCGAAGTGCTTAATTAAGTAGTTCTTATATTAAGAATTTGAAGAAATAAATAGTCTAAATAATAAATCGATCGATATATCATATATTCATCGGAATTTTATGGCTGGAGATTATCACGGTGGAATCTTCAAGCGGGAGGAATGCCTAAATCATTTTCCACTTAAGACGAAACATATATGACACGTTCCCTTCAAACATGAAACAAAATTTCTTTTCTTGTGTCCTTCTAGTGAAAGGGTACAGAAAGTGATTTTGAAGGAGACCAGACCACAAATAAAGTAGAGTCAAAGTGGAATTATGATAAGACACCATCCACTTCTTTATCAATAATATGTATTCTGACGCCATTTTTGCTAAAGCCCCATTTTTTTTTCCTATTCTAGTTTAATCAAACCTACAACTTTTTTTCCTTTTAACGTATTAAAACATGGAGAATATCTTAAAGCCATCAATAATCCAATCTTAACAAATTTTGACAGATCAAACTAAGTCTAAAATATCCCATTTAATATTCAACATGAAACCAAGCATGCTTTGAAACATAGCACAGGCAAAACTTATTTAAACATTTGTGCTTATACATTGATCCATATATTCACATTAATGGATTTAAATGGAATGTGTCTAACTAAGATTTCTCATTTACTTGCAAATTAAACGAGTATATGTTTGACATCAGTCAAACATAGTCGCCATCGTCCCTTGTTCCATTCAAGTCCACTTCCACTTTCCCGCCGTTACCCTCAGTACAAACAAAGTCAAGGTTATAAAGCACAGGAATCATGGCCATGGAGCACAAGAAAACCAGAACAGGCCCAAAAATCCAAAGAAGAAGAGGAAGTGCTGAGTAAAAAAGCCTATTCCCCACTGTGTTTAATATCACCCCTTTCTCCAGAAGCTCTGTTAAGTACTGTGGAGTTATCATGGACTTTATATCTTGTGGGATGGCCACCAGGACGCAGATCTGGTTCAGAAACCTAATGGACAGAGTGTGACAGAAGAATGAGAAGAGGAAGATGGTGAGTATTGTCACGTACTTTAGCGACAACATGAACTCGCCGTGTGCCCCGTAAACGACGTCGTTGAGAGGCTTCTTTACGCTGTAGGTGCTGCTTATGACGGCGCCCAGGCCGGCGGAGAGGAGGATCGATGTGGTGGCCATGAGAGTTGATGCCATTATCAGGTTCCGTAGGGTTTGCACTACTATGATGTTCTTCTTGTCCATGTCCTTCATCAAACAAAAAGGAAACCATTTTTGTGAAATTAATACATTTTTGCGTTAAAAAAATTCAGTATTATTTTATTTTCGTACTTTTCATCAGTTCATAATTTTTCTTCATTTAAAATATAAATGTAAACACAAATAATAAGAACTAAAGATTCTAAATCTCCCATTACTGATTATGTTTTTTTTTTCTTATCCTTGTTCCTATATGTTTTTCTTTTTCTAATACGGTTTATAAATTCAGCCCACGTGAATGGATAAAATAATTAACTTATTATGGATTAATTAGTTGTTGTCTAAAGCACCAGCCAGAAGCTAATAGAATAGATAGATGGCTCTAAATTAAAGATGGAGATGAACATGGAATCTTCAAAAGAGTGAAGAAAGAAGAATCGTGACGTTCACGAACATAGAGACTTTTATTTTATTTTATTCTAAATTTTATGGACAAGGTGATCAGGAAGAGATTTTTTAAGAGATATAATAATGAACAGAAGACAACAAAAACAAGAGGAAGTGGAATCATGCATGATAACCCACTTTTGACTCGAAAAATGATGATATAACATCACATATCAACTCATTAAAAGGCACTTCTTTTAATCTTTTCTCAGTGTTCGAAAAAATAAAAAACCCAAAACCTTTAGGCCAGCCAATTGTATATTGAGATTCTGCTATGTCGGATATTCCTTGCTGTAACTTTCCTTTTTCAGGACTGATGAATCTAATTATTAACTACTCAACTCCACAGTAAATTCTTTTTTGGATATTCATTTCTGTATGATTTTCATTTGAATCATTTCGATATGGATTCTATACTAAGTATACCAACACCGTAAAGCAAAATCTGAACCATTCCCTATATACATGTGTGTGCGCGTTTGAGAACCCTCCTGACTGTGCTTGCTTTAACTTTTTCCCTCATATGCTGATGTTAATATTTTGAAGCATAAACTACTCTTGAGGTATAAATTCTCAAAACACAACAAGAAATTGATCTTAGATTCCGCGTAACAAATAGATTACTGCATATAAAGAAATCAAAGTGGATACAAATCAATCATTCTCACTGTAATTAAACACTGCCGAGATAAAACGCATATACCTAGTGAAGTGCAGGGAAACGAAACCGAAAAATTGAAGTGTGAAATTGTGAATAAGGAACACCCTAAGTCGATTTTATATGCCGTCTGATATATACCAATCTATGTTAGAGTTCACAAACCAGATCAAGGACAAGGAATCTTAGTTATTTGTTGTTATGAGCTTTTTATCTCAGTAACATATATAATGAAAATCTTCATAACAAACACCTAAACAACACAACTATTTAAGATCAAAATATTTGGTGAGCTAGAATCAGGAGTCAACAAGCATACATAGAAGATAGTGCAGTTTAAAGTAGAAGTATACGCTGGCCATCATATTTTTATTATAAACAGAAACACCTGCTGCTAGTCTGGGATTGCGGAAGCTTAATAAGAGAACAAATTAACTAGGAATAATTGAGACCGATCAAGATCTAATATTTAACAGATTTGAATGAATAAGATGGATTATATATGTATATCTTTATGTACCTTCATCATGGCTGGAACCCAGAAGCGTTGGCCATGAGCGTTGATGCCGATGGTGGTGGTGAAGGGACTGGTACGAACCTTGTGCCATAACCAAACATGATAACCAATGGTTATCACAATTCCTAAAGGCACCAACATCAAATCCAAATAATATTTCTTCCATTCCATGACGACGGCTTTGATTTAGATTTCTTGCTCCTTTTCTCGTTCCCTTGTACGCTATAGTTCAAGGGCTAGCTATGTATGTCTGTACTGTGCTGTGCTGCTTCTGTGTTGATTTCCTTAGAGATTCTAATTTGGACCACTTGAATATGAATGTAAGCTTTGATGTTGTGTTTATGGAGGCTTAGCATATCTATTTATAAACAAAGTTCGTGCCCATCTCTATTGGTGGGCTCATGTATTAGTGGTTAGATCCGGTATCACATCTCTATTTTCTTTTTCTTCTTTTTTCCTTTTTTCTTTAACTTTCACCAGCACGCTCCTTTTTTCTCCCTTCATTCACAGAACTAGTTTCAGTGCTCATCACTTTGATGAGCACTTTAAGCTCATTAAATATAAAATATTCATATCTCATTTGGATGCTCTGCATTTGATTTTTTTTATTTATTCAAAAAAATTATTTTAATATGTATAGAATCTAAAATAGAGATAATTTCTTAATTATCATTCCTTCAAAAATAGTTTTTTATTTAAAAAATAATTAATTAAAGATTTTAAATTCGGACCGTTCAAATCAGATATAGATGGTCCAGATCTAATGAGCTTAGAGTACTCATCAAAGTAATGAGTATTGAAACTAGTTCCCTTCATTCATCTTTATGCCTTCACTTTTAAATTCGGGTTCTGTCTAGGAGAGAGGAAGATAGGATGTTGAGCATCTAACCATGAAAGTTGGAAAGTTTACGGTCATTTCACTTGCATCGGATTATATATATCCTAAACCTTAAAATCATGAGTTTATGAATCTTCCTCAATTGAATAAGAATATAATTTTGATATTTTATGAAGGCTTATTAGCAGAGGCTTGGTATATTTATTTGTAAGTAAAATTCAAACCACAAGGTCATTATTAGTTGGAAGGGAAAAAGTTATTTGTAAGTATACAAGTGATCCTTTCACTTTGTAAGAGTTATATACTTTGATTTTTTTTTTAATGGATCGGAGGCTCAGCATATTTATTTATAAGCAAAATTTATTTAACCCATGAGATCATTAATTAAAGCAAAAAAACTTATCCTAAGTTTACATATGTGATTGTAAACTTCAATAATTTGATATTAAGGACTTACCCAGCATATGTATAGTTATAGACTCTCCTTTTTAATTTCGTCTATTCATCTTTATGCCTTCACTTTTAGTTCGGCTTCTCTTTTAGAGATGGTAGCTATTAGCTTATTTAAAAGAAGTCGTAAATTTAGGTGTCATTTCACTTGTATATCTTTTTAACTGAAGTTTATTTGACGTAAGACTTTTTTTCATTTTTCCTCACATCAACTCTGACAATTAATTAGGAAAGAATATTATAGAAGATTTAATTTACTCTTAAACATCATTGTGCTATATTAAGAAGGGTGTGTGTGTGTGTGTGTGTGTGTCTTAATATGGCAATGAGATTAAATTATCCACACACGTATCAGACGCATACTAATTGGCATTTATCATGAGACACCCCTAGATTAATGAAAAAAGTGATGACTTAGAGTTTTGTGTGTGTGTGTGTGTGTGTGTGTGTGTGTGTGTGTCTTAATCATTAATGATAAATTAAATAATATATCTTTTAGAAGAATATTTTCCTGTTATTGATAATTAATTAATTGAGCGAGGTTCATTGATATCTAGTGAATGAAGTCACTAAGATAAAAAAAAAAAAAAGATGATTAATATGCGTAATCAGTTATTTTTGTATAATTGAGCATCTGCAAAGGTATTCGTATGGAATAAGTGCTCCTTCACTTCGACCGTTATAATTGCACTAACTAAGAAGAGGCTTCATATATACATTTAATATTATCAAATTACTCTCTGTTTAATGCCACACACGTGTGTTTTCTATAATTGATCTCGATGAACCATTTTGTTTAGTTTGCAACTAGCAGACGTGATGCACACTTCAAAAACAATGTAAACAAATACTGTATTAATTAATATCATAATGTTCCTAATGCTCGTTAACTTTATATCCCACAGATCACTAATGGGCAATAAACTATGTTCACGAATCACGCCTAACGTTTTTTATTTTTCTACGATACTTCTCAATGTCATCATTACAAGTATCTTTTTCACTATCTCTAGTATATATATAAGACATCTAAAATACCATTGATTTCATTTTTTTAAATATAATTTATTTTGATATTTCTTGGCCTACTAAACAATTTTTTAAACTAATTAAACAACATCTTCTAACTAATGAATAATTTGGGTTATACCTTCTTTTTTTTTAAAATTCTGGTGGATTCCTCTTTAGTGTGACTTGCTGTGAATCATAATTTGAGTCCTATTTGTGATTCGCATTCACTTTAGATAATCTGAGCACTTCAGCAGAATCCATATCTGCCCCAATCCTTTCAAATAAAATTGAGAGTAATTTAAAATTTTAAAAATATTAACTACTTTGAATTAAATTCATTAATTTATGTGAAGTGTTCTGGGATCTTAGGATCGAAGGCTAAGCTGAGTAATATATTAGAAGCATAACGAGAACAGTAATAACCTTTTCGCTATAAAAGACAAAGGTCAAAAAGATATTTGACTCTATTTTTTGTTATTCTTTTGAAAGCAACCATATGAATGGTTGGAGGATTATATGTTATGGGATGATTTTTGATCCATTGATTTGTATATTCCCTGTGTCACTATAATGAAATTACTTTAAACATTGACAGAGTAAAGGTCTCGTGCTTAATTAACACAAAACTTCCATTTGTTTGTTTGTTTGTTTGTTTGCCACACTAGCACAATATTTCAATATTTCAAAAGATGCATAATTAATTGGACATTTCTCGGTTTAGCTCCTTCTTCCAATTGTATAATAGTTTATACGAACTAAAGTGCTCACCAGCAACACGAGGGCTACCACTGATGATCTAGAATACTCCTGCAATCTCCCACGCCCTCATCAATTTTATAGGTTCCCTGGAATCTTCACTTTATATAATATTATATTATGTGATTGTGGAATCCCTATAATTTTCATCGCATTATCAATAATATGCACATGGCGAGAGTACTAATCAATGGTGGACCTGAACTTGCTTTTTTGTGGGGTTTATTAACTTTTTTGTGCTTTGCCTAGAAAATCAATAAACACTCTTTTTCTTTGCGTATACGCACTCTAATTAAGTTCCACCATGAAAATAGAGCACCCACCATTGCGATTCTTTTTCTTTTCTATTCTCTCTCTCTCTCCCCCCCATGCAAGTGCGTGTGTTTTTTGGATATAAGCCTCACAATAATATTGGTGCTTCTTCAGAGAGGAAAAAACTAGTAAAAAGGAGTGATGAAACTTTGAGACAGATAATCTTGTAGCAGATCATCTTGTTTACACTAACATTGGTCCATTAATCTAAAACCTCTCAGTCATTTCATCAGACATTAGACCTTAATCCTTGGATGACCATTCAATATCGTTTGCCTTTCATGATGCATATCTCTCTCTGTCTCCCACCATGGGGATACCAATATATATCAGATAGAAACATCTCAATACTCTGTATATGGGTCGAACCTAATTGAATCGGGAGGAATTTACTATTTGCCCTCCATATATACTCCGAGAAAGATTAGTCTCCACTTCTAACTGAGGACATAGTTGGTCTTGGAAAAAAACAAAAGGATTCTGCATGACACTTAATGTGAGATTTAAAATTTCAAGCTCTCACTTGGTAAGTCAGAATTTTGAATTTGTCTATCCCTCAGGAACTCAAATATATATTGAGAGAACACTATGTAAGTAAAATTCTCCTCTTATTTTATTGCCAAGTTTTGATAATAATTCATTCAAACTTCTATGTAATATTCTCTGCTGACGTAACAGAAAAGGAAAGGTCCATATAGCAAAGAAGAAAAAAGAAAGGAAAAGTTCGGGATTGATAAGAAAAGATATAAAGCTGATGCACATCGCAAATCTTTGTCCCTGAGTGAAAAAGCTATGGAAGAGGTTATATGATATTGGCTATAGTTTTTTTTTTTTATCCAAATTATATTGGCTATAGTTATTCATTATATTCATTTTGTGTGTTCGTTATTGTTGTATTTATATGTTTTACTGTTAATAATCAGTTTTAAAAAAAAAAGTAACTTTGATATTGCTTTTTTTCTGAAGACTAATAACTAACTTTACTTTCAACATGCCCAAAAAGGAACTTTGAATTATTGAATCTTTGGCTTCAACGTAGTACACAAATAAGATAACTGAAGTTCCATCGTGGAAGAGGAGGGACCAGCTAATGTCGGCACTCAATAATTTTTCATATATGTTATTTTGACATATAGTAAATTATTAAATATGGATACTTTTATATTTTAAAGAATAAAAGTTCGCGTTTAATTAGTTTCCTTTTTCATAAGAAATTTTTTTGAAGGAGCTGGGATTTGAGACTCAAGGATCTGTATATGTCACTAACTCAAACAGCATTTGTCTATGTGTTTATAAATTGCCCACTAACAAAATATTTACATTAACAACGGGATTTAAATCACAACTTTATGAGTTGCATGTCCAATTCTTATTGACTAGATCATAATTTTTGTTGACAACTTTTAATTAGTTTTAAGGTGTAGTGTATATTTAGTGGGTATGTGTCGTGTTCCAAAAGAATTAATATTCTCCATTTTTTAAGAATTTTTAAAATCAGATTATGGCATGGATATATTTCAGTCCTATATAAATAAAAATAACAGAGTTGATCCGTGTGTTTTATTGAGAAACACAGTCCACAAAATTAAAATAGACTCACGAGGGGATCTCGTCTTCCCAAAAGTTCCTCTGCATTCCTTGCTTCAACCTCGTTAATGTAACGTAACGCTCATATTATCGCCCTTCACATGCGCTTATTATTTTTTTCCTCCATCACTGCTATATGCTTAAAAAGTAAGAAGATGGGGAAATTTTTAAGACATAAATTAGTTAAAATTGTTTTATTCGCATATGCAGGTTATTAGCTTATTTCAAGTGATTATGAGGGTTTGTTAAACAAGCATGTAACAATAATCTTGTCCTCTAGAAAAGAGATTTGGGTGTCATTCGGTACGAAATATTGAAAAGGAGGGGTAGAAATTGTGATTAGAATTAGGAAAATCTATTCAAATAATGTTTTGCACAAGAAATTATATTACTTGTTATATGAGATTGGAAAAACTTGTGTATATGAGATTGGGGAGTACCATGGGGGGAGATAGTATTCCATAATCTCACCTCCATAGATTTGCCTACTTTTATATAACAAACAATTACTTATATTAAATACTTTTTTAATAATTTTTCTCAATGACATTCTCGGTCCCTATCCCTTATTTTCAATACTTGGTACCAAAAAGAACATAAGTTAATATTAATAGATGTGGATTTTAATTTCATGTTAGAAGTCATAGGGTTGTACACAATTTTAAACATGAAAAGTGGAAACCTCGAAACCTGGAGAAAGTAATCGTGGAAGCTGCTTCGGCCTTCATATTTTGCATGCAAGACACCTTGCTAGCTAGATTACACCCTTCAAAGATCAAACCTTGTCATATAAATGACTCTCTCTGCAACTTAATTAGCCAAGCTAGCTACTGGCTCAACTTCTCAACTTACACGGAGAAATTAAACAAAGAGAAAGAGAAAGATAAAGATAATGGAGCTGAACAAGATGGTGATGGTGAAGAAGGTGACTGTGTTGGCTTTCCTAATAATTACTTTCACTTCAAATTTCGCTCATCCTTATCGTTTAAACGACGCAACCTCCTTCCTCACCAGTCCAATGATGATGTCGTCGTTGTCTAGGTCGAAATCTTCATCATCGTCTGGATGCTGCGATTCCTGTATCTGCACAAGATCGATTCCTCCTCAATGTCAGTGCCTGGACGTAGGGGAAGACTGCCACTCGGCTTGTGACAAGTGCCTTTGTACGAGGTCCTTTCCTCCACAGTGTCGCTGTTCTGACATAACTGGCTTCGGCTACGAGTCATGCAGCTCCTATACATGATGCTGATAATTAATAACACAGCAGACTAATAATCTAGGACTTGATGATGAACGAGGTTTTTTAACTACACGTATCTATGATAATGTCGGAGACAAAGCCACCCTAGCTAGCCTGGCTTTGTGTTTATGAGTAGCGGTGTGGAAATAAACGAGTGATCTTGAAATAAAAGGGTCTTATTTGTGTATGGCCTCCAGTTTGTTTGCTTCTCTGCGAACTGGATTCCGGTTAATATACGTACGAGCACTTTTCTTTAAGATTTGAATCTTGTTAATCAGAAGTTATATTGATCTTTTCCATGCGAGCACATTCCTTATCACAAACGTAAGTATGAAGTCTTTATCTTAATTTTGACCATTTAGACTGATTTTAGATTGTCTAGATTTAATTTGAATTTTTTTGCTTTAAATAATTTTTTAATTTAATAGATACAGATATTGGAAATATAGATAATTTTATAACTAATATTTTTTTAAAAAAATAAATATATCACCAAAAAATTGCGGATCAAAACTTTTAAGTCTCCATAGTTCAGATTAAATTTTGAATTGTTCAAATTTCATTACAACAATAAGCACACCGTGCTCATTAGTGAAACATCAACAAAAATATATTTTGAAAATAGGTTAAATTTTTGAAACTCAAATAAAAAATATTTATTTTTTAAAAATTACTCAAATTAATTTTCACGAGAAGAAAAATGTTGATTTACTATATATATTTATATTAAATATTCAATAAAAATATTTTTCAATAGATCATACTACTATGTTTTTGAAAAAATTTAAGCTCTATGTCTATTCTCACGACCATTTCTTATATTGTTCAAAACACACAGTTATTTTCATCGTAACTTTTTACTGATGGAATAGTTATCCTTTTTTTTTGCCAACGACATAATACTTATACCAAAGAATATTTCACCTAAAAACAGAGTATTTCTCGGCCTTTTGGGCCTTCAACTAGGATTAAGGATATCTTGATTTCATGGGCCTAAATATCCTGCCGAAAAATATCCTTAAGATGGCCAGGGCCCAAGAAGGAGGATTGCCTCTCAAGTCTGATATATTTCTTGAGAAGGTCAGGGCCCAACTTAACAGTCTGATGTCATATCGGTCTCGAAGCTTTCTGGAAGAGGTTATCACATTTTGTATGTGATGATATTTTAGATAAGATTACTTTCAATAAGAGAATATTTATACTTAAAAAAAAAAAAAAAGCCTTTTATAAGCCAAGGGGTTGAATGTTAGTTCTTCACTGTGGGAAAAATCAAGATTTGGAATTCTGCTCAGAGGTATTAAAACACCCGACAAAACGGTATTATAAAAAAGGCCTGGCTTTTTTTATCCCTTTATTTTGTTTAAATAAAATAAACAATAACCGTGAAAATGAATAACCGGGCAATAAGAAGGGTCACTTATGCAGATACGTGACCTCCAGCTTTGCATTCCTGCAAATTGGCTTCTGGTCAGATTCTGACTATTTCTTGCAGCTTTCTCTGCATCATTGCATCTTCGTACCAGCAACCCCTTTTTTTAAAAATTTAAAAAAAATATAAAAGCATTTTTACATTTTTTTAAAAAAATAATATCCCAACATCTTTTGTATATCAAAGTTAATTATACCGAACACCCTGTATTTGCGGTCGAATCCCTGATAAATGACATAATGGATGGGTGAGTTATGGGCAAAAAAATCTTGTATATTAATACGATGCTAAATTAAGGGTTGGTTTGGCAAAAAATTTGCCAAACACCCCCATTTTTTTTAAAACCAAGGTTTTGCCCAACAAAACCTTGGTTCCAGATAAGCAGGCGGGGCGTAGCTTCTGAGGAGGGACTCAACGGTCAGCTCACGGAGGGAAAGCACGGGGGGTACTCATTCAGCTCAAGGGGTACAATTATTTGGCAAAATAAATCATTTTTCTAAAAACATATTTATTTATTTTATTAATATACACACACTAATTTCTTATTATTTATATTATTTATGCCATATTTATTATGTTGCCAAAATATATATTATTAATAAATTTATTACTTCAATAAACATATATTATGAAAATATATTATATGCAATTATCATTTAAACTTATGTTCTTTTTAGTAATTTCTACATATCAAAAAGCACTTCTGACAATAATTATCCAAACACTCTCACTTTATCAGAATCACTTTTCCAGAAAATCTATTCTTTTAAAATCTATTCTCTAGAAGCTATTCTGCAAACCATGATTTTGCCTCATCCAAACACCCCCCTAAATATGAATCCAGAATTATATGATTTATAATTTTGGCAAAAAATAAAAATAAAAATTTAATTATTACCAGTCATCTTCATTATCAAAAGTCAGAATCTGACTTTTTCATTGTATGTTACCTAACTACTGTTCACACCTTATCCACCCCCCCGCCACGTTGATCTTCTCGGAGGATTGTTTTCTTCTCTTTTTAATTTTCATTTTCTTTCAATTTTCGGGCGCCTCTGTCGTCACTTCTTGACTCTGTTCAGTGACCGAAGCAAACGAAGGCGTTGGATTTACTTTCTCGGAGAGTCCTCGGTTCACCCATGATTCTCAAGCCTCATTTTTTTTTTGAGTCCCATCCCCACTTGGTA